GTTTATGTTGATAATGAAATGTTCCTTTACGGGCTGGAGAGATGGCTCAGTGGTGAAGAACACTGACTGCTCTTCCAGAGGTCGTGAGTTCAATTCCCAGCAACCACATGGTAGCTCACAACCATCTGTAACGAGATGTGGCGCCCTCTTCTGGCTTGTGGGCATGCATGGAGGGAGAATGTTGTATACATAATAAAAATTTAAAAAAAAAAAAGAAAAAAAAATGTTCCTTTACTTGGGCTAGCTAGCCACTGGTCGCTGACTTATAAGCACTTTGTATGTGACTAGCAACATAAAGAAGTAACTTCTCATTTTTATTTAAGATTAACTATCCACACATAGCTACCATATTAGACATAAAAATTTCACAGACTTTCTATCTCAGAACTCGCGTTTCAAACTCATAGTCCCTAAATGCCTTCGTCTCATCTCTGTTACATCTGTGGTTTCACAGGTACAGCAGCTGCTTGCTAAGGCTGGAACTATAGGCCAATAAATGGGCCAAGGGTAAAACTCAGTGAGATGCAGCACCCACAGGCAAGGAGCCGACTCCAGCCTTCACTGGTATAGCAGGACCCCGTGGCAGGGATGGCTAGCAAAGGGCTGCTGCTGACATCAGCCTCAGATTCCAGAACATGCTCATCAAAAGCCTCAGGAGGTTGTGCTATGCCTCGTAACCAGTAGCATCATCAAAGCAAAGCAGTACAGACTGGAAGTATATTTGAGTCATGCCTTATAAGTACCTTTGGGAGAATCGTCCCTGAACGGTGGTAAACAGTTTTAAGCCTGTTAAGCTACCATTAGTAACCCAAAACCTGTATTTACAAGGCAAGTTATGCACTAAGGATGTGACAGGAGAAAATACTCACATTTCCTTATAAATGTGGCAAGGGAAGACAAAAAATACCAATGACCTCAATGGCTTACAGGAAATTAGGACCCCATATTTAGGGATGAAAATGGGTCATATAAATATTTACTTCTAGATGATAATTCAACCTTACAACACTTATCTAAATAGAGGTGATGCTCTGCAGTAGAGCATGTGTTATATGTCTAAAAAAAGTCCCAGGTTCAATCCCCAGCACCAAATACAACAGAAAACAAATACCCTAAAAATAGGTGTTTTGAACTTCAGAGTATTGGGGATTTTGTAAAGATAACAGTTTTAAAACACGTTAGATAATATTCTCTATGATATCTGGGGTAGTAACTTATAACCGAACAATACTTCTTTCAAGCCTATTAGTATTTCCATCAAAAAATATTAAAAGGAGCTGGAGAGATTGCTCAGAGGTTAAGAGCACTGGCTCTTCCAGAGGTCCTGAGTTCAATTCTTAGCAACCACAGGGTGGCTCACAACCATCTATAATGGAATCCAATGTCCTCCTCTGGCGAGCAGAGGAACATGTAGACAGAGCACTAACAAATAAATCTTTTAAAAAATATTTTTTAGCCGGGTAGTGGTGGTACACGCCTTTAATCCCAGGCAGAGGCAGGCGGATCTCTGGGAGTTCGAGGTCAGCCTGGTCTATAAGAGCTAGTTTTGGGACCAGCACAAAAGCTACAGAGAAACCTTGTCTCGAAAAACAAAACAAAACAATACAAGAGCTATTTCCAGGATAGGCTCCAAAGCTACAGAGAAACCCTGTCTCGAAAAAACAAATAAATAAAGAAATAAATAAAAATAAAAAATAGGGCTGGAGAGATGGCTCAGTGGTTAAGAGCACTGCCTGCTCTTCCAAAGGTCCAGAGTTCAATTCCCAGCAACCAAATGGTGGCGCACAACCATCTGTAATGAGGTGTGGTGCCCTCTTCTGGCCTTACGGCATATACACAAATAGAACATTATACACATAATAAATATTTAAAAAGAAAAAAAGAAAAAATATTTTTTAAAAAGTGTAACTGTCCTCACACTTGTTCAATTTTGCTACCAAAATTTTAAAAATACTCATTTTTGATTATGAAGGAAACATGGATTGTAAGTGTCTAACACAAAACCATCTTTCTCCCATGGTTGGAACTATGTCTGTAGTGTGTGGCCCTATAACTAATGTTGGTTCATTCAAGTCAGTTTTACTCTGGTCAGGACTAGGGGGTAGTTCAGTGTACAGTTCTTGCCTACTATTGTGCACAAGACTCTAGGTCCAGTCCTCCGCGTCGTGTACACAAAACACACACCTATAAACAGGCATGATGGCACATGCCCACAAACTCAGCACCAGGGAGACAGAGACAAGAAAACTGTACAAAGTCCAGGCCAACTTAGTATCCAGATCAAGCTTCAGGCCAGTCAGGGCTAAGAAGTGAAACCCTGCCTCAAAGAACAAGCAGAAAAATGAGTAAGAGAGCTAATATAAAACGCAGGCTATGTCATGAAGGGCCACAATAAACACACAACAAAAAGTGTCAATATCTTCTTATTCAATTTGGTTTGGGTTCCTGAAATGGTCAGTTTTAGGAGAACCTCTGAAATCTCTTGACTTCCATACCTATCCAGAAGTGGGCTTTTTGAACTTGAGAAGACACCTGTAAAGAATAAGGGCTCCATTCTAACGCTGGTCATCTTCTCTGGCACGAAATAAAAGAAACCCACATCTGGTTCCACCTGCTAACTCGCAGAAGTCTCCCTTCACAAAGGCCTTATCCTAAAGCAAGGAAGACTAAGGCACACTAACCAGCCAGATGACAAAGTTGCAAATTTCAGGTAGCTGTCAACTCCACTGCTGCACCCAACTGCTCCATAAATGTCCATCATGGGCCCTGTCCAAAAAGCATCTTATTCTAGGGAGAATGTAACCAGCCTCCAACTTCCCAGGACCAACAAGAAAGTCCACAGTGCACTCACCTTCTGCCTGCAGAGGGGCTCCTTCTTGTTCTCTTCAGCCTTTGCGTCCTGCTGGGCAGCATCTTTGGGGGTGTTTACTGCTAAAACATCATTTATAGTAGAGCCAACCACCATGATCTTGGCTCCACTGGTCACTTTTATTTCTCTCAACGTTTTATCTTCAGGAACAAGTCCCTTATACATGACCTTCTGCATGGCGGGTGGGAGACCTTGACAAAAAGTGGAAGGTAGGGAAAGGAGTAAGCAGGAAATGCATGGACCATCATGCTTCTGTAACGAAACAGGAAGTGAACACTGGCTCCATCAGCTAGCAGCTTTTTGAACTTGGGGGAATTTGGACCAGCAGGATATTTGGTTGCTAAGACTTGGTCCTTCTAGTAGATTTAGGGTATTTAGAATTATTCAACATGTCTTCGTTATCATTCCTTCCAAATCGCTCCTCAGCCTTATTCTCACCTAGATACTGAGAATGTCCAAGCATCAGGGACACAGCAGTCAGTAAGTTACTTTCCTATGGCATTTACAGGCTACATGGGAATAGCTTAAGAAAGAAGTAAGTTTATTTATTTATTTATTTATTTTGGTTTTTCGAGACAGGGTTTCTCTGTGGCTTTGGAGCCTGTCCTGAAACTAGCTCTTGTAGACCAGGCTGGTCTCGAACTCCCAGAGATCCGCCTGCCTCTGCCTCCTGAGTGCTGGGATTAAAGGCGTGCACCACCACCGCCCGGCAAGAAGTAATTTTAAATAGCAAATCAATACAAACAGAGTGACCAAATATGAATAATTGTGAAGGGCCACCATGACTGTCAGTCAATATTAATGTTTCAGGAACTTCCCTTATGAGACTTACCTATCTGCTAAAAATAAATCTAGACCCACTCAGAGTCTCTACAGTTAGTGCCCAGGAGCTGTGAATTTAATAAATGCCATGGGAGATTTTCACTATCCTTAGTAGTCCAACATTAGTTAGAAGGCTGAGCCTAATAATTCGGTTTAAGGTTTGTATCTCTGCTCCACCACTTGGTAGCTCTATATCATCACGGGTCCAGTTTTCCCTCTATGATTAATAAAAGACATGCAAATACTGACTTCAGAAAACTGCAGCGAAGGTAGCGGGAGTCCATGCAAGGAAAACACAGCAGTTCTAGCACGACGTAAGCAATACGGACTAGAAGGTGGGGGTGGGGGATGGAGGCAGTTGGTTGTCAGCTCCTAGAATACCTGTAATGGAGTGAATCTTCTGCTTTAGCTCGGAACCCGTGCTGTCCAACGGGACCTTCACGTCGTGCTTAGTCTTGTTCCAAATTATCTTCAGCTCCACCAGCTCCCTGCCCGCACCGCCGCCTGCGTCCTCGCCGTTGCTGACCGAGGCCTGAGCCACAGGGTCCCCAGGGGGCTGGGCAGGGGCCGGCTGCAGGCTGCCTCGCGCGTCGCAGGAGTCCTCGGCCGCCGCCCCCGCCGCTGCTTCGTCCTCCACGCAGTTGTGGGGCCGTGCGGGCGCCTCGGTGGGCACAGCCTCAGCCTCCGTGTCCATGCCTGCAAAGGGGTTAAGAGGGTGGGCGCTCGCCGCGGGCCGGGCCTGCGACGAGAATGAGCCCGGGCGCCACTGCACCGTCGCTGCTGGGCCACCTCCTCCCTCTAGGGCCAGTTCCCGTTCCCCGACCCCCGCAGCGCCGGCAGCTCTTCAGCCGCCGACCGACCGCCTTCCCCTCCGCACTCACCATCCGGGGCTCCGGCCGCCGCCATGATGATTGTGTACAACACCCACGGCGCCCGCAGGGGCCGCCGGGAAGAAGCGAGCTGGCTGAGATTGGCCCCCGCTACAGCCCCTAATTTCACTCAGCCTGGCCGGAAACAGGTGGAGGTTTCTATGGAGACCCGCCTCCTCCGCTTCCCCGGCCGGCCCCTGCCACGCTTTAGCATTCCCGCAGCCGAGGGGGCGGGTCTGGGAAATGGCCCGCTCCCTGCGCGCCGTCCCCTAGCGGCGGTGCACAGTCCCAGCTGTTCAGAGGGGAGTGGGCGGCCTGCGCCTTTAAGTGGGCGGGGCCGTTCGCGCTGTGGCGAAAGTTGATTGGTGAGAATGCGCTTCCCCGCCCCCCCAGCCGCGCGGAAGTGACGCTCGAAGAAGCCCACGTGTGTGTTTCTATTTCACATGGCGGCGTTCCTCCAGAGGCTTCCGCGGGCCGGGCCTCGCGCGGCGGCCCTAGGCCACCGCGTGGGACGGCGGGACGCCAGTCTGGGCCCAGATCCCGGGGCCACGGTGCGAGTTCGCTTCGCTCCCAGCCCCACAGGTAATCCTGGCGGACGAGACGCCCGCGCCGCAGCCCACCGGTCTGTCCCCGCCCCCGAACGTTCCAGAACCAGTCCCTTCCGGTGTCTGCGCGACCCCATTTTACAGAGACGGAAATGGAGGACTAAGATCTGAAGTGATTCAGGTTCCTGGAAATTCCTTTGTTATAATGTCTCTGTTATTTTTTTGTGTAGTGCGTATACACTGTGCCAAGCCCTATGCGCTAGAATGCAGTGGTCATTGAAAAGTTAGGGTTCCTGCTTTGAAGAAACTGTCATTCTAGTGACCACGACATGCACTTACAAGAAAAATTTTAGGGTTAGATATGTCATTTTGGAAATGAAGCGGAATAGGGTGCCTTAGAAGGCATTGCTGAAGAGTTAACGTTTGAGTTGAGAACCACATGTTAAGGAGACCTGCTTGAAGCCTAAGAGCAAATGGCGCAGTGGCCCGGGTTTATTACTGCTGGAAGCTTAGCAAGCCAAGGGAAATCAGGCCAGTGTATAGCCTGTTAGAAATACTGTCCTGTCGTCTTGCTGGATGGTGGAGCACACGCCTTTAATCCCAACACCTGGAAGGTAGAGCTAGGCGGATCTCGAGGCCAGCCTGGTCTACAGAGTTCCGGGACAGCCAGGGCTACAAAAGACCAAAATGAGAGAAACATTGTCGTCACTTACCCTCCGTACCACACGTTCCCAACCCTCCTTTAGCTCAAGTCACCTTCCACCCACTTGACACTGTGCATTCCAGACCCAAGGTCAGCAGAAAAAGATCATTGGGACGGAGTCCCAGCTGCGCAGGAATGACACGTTGCTTCTGGGCAGGTGATATAAATCGTGTAATTTTTTTAAACTCAGTGTGGTGGAAGCCCCAATTCTTAATTACCAGTTGTAATTCTGTATTTAAGACTAACATAAATGAAACTACTAGGGAAAAAACGAATATCTGGGAACCAGACAAAACAAAAGCTCCTTTCTTTTTGTTAGTCTCAGTGGACGTCAAATGGCTTATGAAATGGATGCAAGTTTCTAAACCTCAACTCTCCATTTCTGTACTTACCTACTGTGAGCGTGCACTGGATGTGAAGAGGCACTTGTGTAGGTCACCAAGGCCTGGCATTTTCTGCATACGTCTATCTAGATACATAGAGTTTTTTTGTTTTTTTTGTTTTGTTTTGTTTTTTGAGACAGGGTTTCTCTTTTGCTTTGGAGCCTGTCCTGGAACTAACTTTTGTAGACCACGCTGGGTTTGAACTTACAGAGATCCCCCTGCCTCTGCCTCCAAGAGTGCTGGGATGAAAGGTGTGTGCCACCACCACCGAGCCTATATTTCTGTTTTTAGCCATTCCTAGATGTGTCATTTTGGCAATGTTCTCTGCTCTGTTTATGTCCTAGTTTTGCTATTTGTCAAGTAGGGCTAATAATAGTTCTTGACTGATGATCTTGAGCCAGTGTAGCTGAGCCACTCAGCAAGATCTGCTATGTGAAGTAGCCTTCACTTCAATTCTTTGCTGACTTCATTTTCATTGCTGACTGGCAGGAAAAACCCAGATGAGCAGGAGTTGTCAATCAGTGTAGATCACTGTGATAGTTAAAATTAGTTGAAGGTATATCAAAAAAAATTAATTGAAGGTATACATTTTTTTTTGTTCTGGCTGTTTTAATTTGGAAACAGCTCACTGTATTGCCCATTGGCCTAGAACTCACTGTGAAGATCATGCTGGCACTGAACTTGCAGCAATCCTCCTGTCTCTGCCTTCCAGATACTAGAGTTACAGGTGTGAGCCACCAGACCTGGCTTAAAGTTCTGCTTTGGTAAACATTTAGGTATCATAGCAACCTAATGATAAAGAAGAATCCAGGTGTTTTTGTTGAGTTGCGACAGGAACTTACTGCATCCCTGGCTGGCCTGGAACTTGCTGTGTAGACCAGGCTGTTGGCTCACTTACACAGATCACCCGCTTCTGCCTCCAAAGCGGTTAAGAGGAAAGGTTTATGCCACCAGATCCAGCCTGACTTTTTTTTTTTTTTAAGCCTACTGACATCAGCAAACTGAAACTTGTGAAAGCTAAGTGAATTCTCAAAGGTTAGGAATTTTTTTTTTTTCCAGACGGGATTCCTCTGCAGCTTTGGAGCCTGTCCTGGAGCTAGCTTTTGTAGACCAGGCTGGCCTTGAACCCACAGAGATCTGCCTGCCTCTGCCTCCTGAGTGCTGGGATGAAAGGCGCGTGCCCCTGGCAGGAATTTCTTAATGGTAGACTGAAAATTCTTTTTTAAATTTCATGTATGGTGTATTTGTGTTTTCATGTGGGTATGAGAAAGAGTCACCAAAACTGGTTGGCTAGTGAACTCTAGGAATCTGCCTGTTTCCCACTGCCAGCGCAGGACTTAACAGCTGGATGTTTGGCTTTTATGTAGGGTTAGGGTTAGCTGGGGATCCAAACTCAAGTTGTCATGCTTGCGCAGCAGGCACTTTATTGACTCAAGCCACTTAGTCTTGAAATTCCCGAAACTCGGTTCTACGGGAAACTACTTGTTTTGTGGGTTTGCTGAAAGACTCACATAGAACATTTCCTGTCTGATGGTGCCTTCGTACCTGGAGATGCAGATAAGGTCGTTATAAATGTACATGGCCTGACTGTGGAGATCCAGGACCCTGGCCTGGACCAAAGAAAGGAGTGGAAAGGGGAAATGACCAACCTGGGAAAATTTGAAACTTTTAGTCAGTAACAGTACTTTCAAAGTTTAAACTCCAACAAAGGGAAATATCGTAAAATCAAAAGTTACTTTTGATCATAATTACTTTTTTGTTGTTGTTTTTCAAGACACAGTTTTCCTGTAGCTTTGGAGCCTGTCCTGGAACTAGCTCTTGTAGACCAGGCTGGCCTCGAACTCAGAGATCCTCCTACCTCTGCCTCCCAAGTGCTGGAATTAAAGGCGTGTGCAACCACCACCTGGCTTATTACAATTACTTATAACTAGTGCTTATGGTGATAATCTCAAGTAGGAAAAATGCAGATTACATGATGTGATTAAGTATGATATGTAGAGTATATATGAAAATATTTTTTAAATAGGATTTAGATGTGTTATTAACATGGAATTAGCCTTCTTCCTCCCTGGAATATATCAGTAGATTTATGTAATGTAAATGCTAGTGTGATCTGGCCTCTGAATAGTTTTCAAACAGATAATGAATGCTGTTTCTCCTTCTGGTGAAACTTGGCCTTGAGGTAAATGTCAAAGTTCAATGCTAAAGGCACTCAGGAAGAGTTGGAGCATTTTTATATGGTGACAAGCTCCTGGACCTGACCTGTGGGTGTTTTTCCATTCCCAAGATGAAGGACTAAATGGAGTCAACTACCCTGACCTTTACTTTTTCTTTCTGTTGTTATTAAGATTTATTTATTTTATGTTACATTATGAGTAATTTGTCTACATGTGTGTATATGTACCATTTCTATATGGTACCTGCTAAGGTCTGAAGATGGTGTTAGATCCACTGGAACTAGATTACAGATAGTTATGAGCCACCATGTAGATGCTGGGTAGTGAACCTGGGTTCTGGAAGAGCATCCAGTGCTTATAGCCGTTAGGCCTTCTCTCCATCCCCACTGTGTCCTTTTCAGTGACAGTCTGGTTATCAACCAAAGAAATAGGACAGTCACAGCCATTTCTTGGTCTTGAAACTTGATTGGGACATTCTTATTTGCATTTCAGTTGAGGCCTGTGATCTAGCCTTTTCCCTGTCCTGTCTGACCTCTTCTCTTCTGCCAGGCTTCTTGCACCTCGGTGGCCTCCGTACCGCTCTCTACAACTACATCTTTGCCAAGAAGCACCGAGGGAGCTTCATTCTGAGACTGGAGGACACTGATCAGAGCCGACTGGTACCAAGGGCAGCAGAGAACATTGAGGACATGCTGGAGTGGGCAGGTGAGGCTGGCAAGGAAAGAGTCTCTGAGGAGGAACAGGAAGAGAAGAAAGCTGTGGGTCTTCTCTGCATTCACGGTGGAGAATAAGAACTCAGGGAAAACAGATAAATCTTCACAGTCTGGGGTGATGGATGTTCCCTGTAAAAAAATGACAAGACTCTCCGAAGCCAAGCTCTACGGCTGTTGTGAAATTCCTTCTCTTATCCCAGTTGTTTAGTGCATTCCCTGAGAGGTCAGGGCAGGAAACAGGTTCACGGGGAATGAATGGCGTGTGGTGAACATGAAGTGGGGTCTCCTGAAAAGGATACAGTGCCTATGAGCACCAGCTCCTGCTCCCAAGAGAATGTGACCTCAAATTGTCCAACTTTATAGTTCCAAGAAGAACTAGAAAGCTGAAGTATATAGAATGTTTGTTTGTATGTATGTATGTATGTATGTATGTAGATACGTAGATCAGGTTCCTCTATGTAGCCCTGACTGTCCTGAAACTCACTATGTAGACCAGGCTGGCCTTGAACTCAGAGATTTGTCTGCCTCTCCCTCCTGAGTGCTGGGATTAAAATTAAAGTTGACATTTGCCACTATGCCCAACTGAACGCCCCATTTTTTTCTTTTTTTTTTTTTAAGTACCTTTTTTTTTTTGTCTTCTCCCTAACTCTTTTTTTTAAAAATATTTATTTATTTATTTATTATGTATACAATGTTCTGTCAGTGTGTGTGCCTGCAGGCCAGAAGAGGGCACCAGACCTCATTACAGATGGTTGTGAGCCACCATGTGGTTGCTGGGAATTGAACTCTGGACCTTTGGAAGAGCAGGCAATGCTCTTAACTGCTGAGCCAGCTCTCCAGCCCCTTCTCCCTAACTCTTTATCTTAATTTGTATTTTCATTTATTGTGTGCATGCACTTGTTTGTGTGTCAGAGGACAACTTGCAGGAGTTGGGTCTCCTTCTACAGTGCAGGTTCTAGGGCCTGAACTACAATTATTAGGCTTTACCGCAAGAGTCTTGACCTTTGCGCCACCTCATTGGCTAATTGTTATTTTAAATGAACACTGTCCATTGTTAAACATAGGCTTGAATTTATTTTATTTTTAAACCTCATCATTGTGAGTCAAACAAAATGATTGCAGTTTTAGGAGTTGATCTTCTTGTGGGTAATTTAATCCTGAATTTAGGCTTGTTGAAATAAAGAATGTGTTTTGAGTTTCCTGGATCATCTTGAACTCCTATGGGTTCCTACTAAAGACAGGCACTAGAGAAAGTTAACACCCTAAGGAGAAATACGAAGACTACTTGAAGCCCGGTGGTGGTGATACACACCTTTAATTCCAGCGCTTGGAAGACAGACTCAGGTGGATCTCTGTAAATTCAAGGCCCACCTGGTCTACATAGCTAGTCCCAGGACAGCTAGGGCTATTACACAGAGACACCCTGTCTCAAAAAACAAAACAAAACAAAACAAAAAACTACTTGAAGATATATACTCTCACCTCAGATAATTATTCACCAGGCTCTAAGTTCCTAAGTAGCAGAAACTCATTTATTTCTAGCTTTTATTAGTGAAATTTTAGTATATATGTAGTTGAGGTTCATTGACTAAAGGAATGTATTAGTCATTAAGATCACTTTGAACCATCTGCTTGTTGCAGCCTTAAAAATGCAAGTATTAAGACTTTACCCACCCAGAATTTTTTTTAAACCGTATTGGTGCTCCAGCCCAGGGCCTGTGCGTATTATGCAAGTACTCTACCACTAAGCTGTGCCCTGGCCCTGTACTTCATCCTTAACCTGATAGTAAGTTGTGATGAGAATTATAGAGAAAGGGCTGAAGAGATGGTTTGTTGGGTAAAGTGCTTGCTGTGTGCAGGTGTGAGGACTTGAGATCAGATCCCCGGGGGTTCACTGACCAGGGGTTCTAGCCAGTGAACTCTAGGTTCAGTGAGAGGGCTAGGAGATGATCAATGGGTAAAAGCACTTATTAGTTTGGGTTCCAGCACTCTTCCAGCCTCTGTGGGTGCTGTATGAACACGGTGCACATATGTACATGCAGACAAAACATCCATATACAAAGAGATCAATTATTTAAAATCTTAAAAAAATGAAGTTGAAAGCCCTTGAAGAAGACACCCAATGTCAGCCTCTGACCTCTACATGTTCATGTGCACCTGCAAAGTTACAGAGAAAGAGGAACATGTTGGAAAACTGAGAAAAGGATGTTCTTCTTGATAAGGTTGTTTCTCTGGGCATAGAGTCTTGAATGAATTAAGGGGCTATTTTGGCTATTTAGAGTAGGTGGAATCAGATGCAAAAGTTCTGTGGAAGAGAAGTAGTGTTGGGTGAGAAATGACAAGGACGCCAGTATGGCCCTGTAGGTGGAGACCACGCATTTGTTTCCCAACCGCTCAGACCTGAATAATCACACAGAAACTGTATTAATTACAACACTGCTTGGCCAATGACTCAGGTATATTTCTAGCTAGCTCTTACATGTTGAATTAACCCATCTATTAATTTGTGTATTGCCACAAAGCTATGGCTTACCTGTACAGGTTCTGGGCATCTGTCTCCTTGGGCAGCTACAAGCATCTCTTTGACTCTACCTATTCTCTATCTCTGTTCTGGTTTCCCGCCTGGCTTTACTCTGTTGCATTGGCCAAAACATCTTCATTCATTAACCAATAAAAGCAACACATATACAGAAGGACATCCTACATTGTGGCCCAAAGACTACAAAAAAGTAAAATGAGTTTTAGTGGGGGCCAGCAAATTCACTCAGTAAAATGCAGGCCCATGTTACAACTTCAACTTAATGGGGCTCTTGCTGCAGGTACTGTGTGAAGCTCATGTGGAATTGAGGAAAGCCACTGTTCCTGCCATACTGTTGTGTAAACAGGGCTTGATCACAACAATAGAAAAGTTACTAAGGCCACATCAATTACTTACATAGATGACCCTGGGTAAGCAAAATGGATCACAAAATATAACCAAGTCCTAAATTTGGGAAAGGGACTGGTGAGAATGGAAAAAAAAAAAAGAAAAAGGAAAGAAGATGATTGCTCGTAGGCATGGTGGAGGAGAAAGTTTACTGTAGATAAAAGGGAGACATAGTCAGAGGTAGGGACATCTGGTTGAGTCCAGAGCGGATGTGACCCTGAGCTGTTTGGGTGAGTGGGGGTGGCTAGTAGGTGCAGCAGCCAGGAGGCCCAAAAGAAAGCAGACAAAAAGACCAGAAAACCAGAATGGTTGGATTATATAGGGAAAGGTAGGTAGTTGCGGGGAAGAGGAAGAATAGTTAAGCTGGAAGTTCAGGGTAGGGGCAGGATATGCCAGCCAGGAGGGCCCTGTGACAGGCAGGGGCTGAGGGATGCAGGGAGAACCTGGCTGCCAAGTCCGATTTGATAGTTAAATAGGCCTTTGTCCCAGGTTTGAAACATAACAGGGATGAAGGGGTGTTAATAGGAATGGGAGGAAGATAAGAGTGAAGGGAAATATAAAAATATATTCTATACATACACATGTAAAAGTGTCTTGAGAATGAAAGTAATAAAAAAGATGGAGATCTCTAAAAAACTAATAAATTTTGATATGGAAATGATCCACAAATTTACCTCATTCAACCTTGTTCTAGTTTCCCTGTCTTTTTCTTTTTTTTTTTTTCTTGTGGAGACAGTGTCTCATATCTGGCCTCAAATTCACTGTGTATCCAAGAATGGCCTTGAACTCCTGATCACTGTGAATGCTGGAGCTCTAAGGCCTGCACACGATGCTTAGCCTTTCCTAAGGGCCAGCAGGGTATTTTGAAAAGTAGAGTAGCAGCTGTCTGCTGCATGAATGGGTCCCAAAAGTGGATTGTGGTTCCCTTCCCCCTTTAATAGGGTATATCCTAGTTAGTAGGGTTAATATTGTTGTTATGAAACACAATGATTTGAAGCTACTTGGAGAGGAAGGGGTTTATTTGGCTTATGATTCCCAAGGAAGTCAGTATAGGAACTCAAACAGAGCAGGATTCAGGAGGCAGGAGCTGATGCAGATGCCATGGAGGAATGCTGCTTCCTGACATGCTCCCCATGGCTTGTAGAACCAGGACCACTTGTTCAGGGTGACCTCACCAGTATGGACTGGGCACTAATGAAGAAAATGCACTACGGGCTGTCTACAATTCTGATTCTGTGGAGGTTCAATTGAGGTTTGATGACTCCAGTTAGTGTCAAAGTTGACATAAAACTAGCCAGCACGGAGTATCTTTTATTTATTCTTTGAAAATTCCATATATGTAAACAATGTGTCTTGATCATAAGCTCCCTAACTCCTCCTCCCACTTCCCTAGGAATCCCCAACTCCTTCCTCCCCCAGGTACCCTTAACACATCCCACTCTCCCTTTTCATGTCCTATCCTTCCCTCTCCCCCCCCCCCGCCCTTTTTAATGGTAGTAGTAGGTTTCTTCTAGAATCTGTGACCTCCAGCCACAGGTTCTTGACTAAGTTTACAGTAGCAAATATGAGTTCCTATTGAGTTGGCCATAACTATAATCAGATAGAGTTGGTTACCTTCAAGACATTAGTGCCACTAATGCTGGGCCTGTTGTAATTATAGTTTGTAGGATTTATTATTATACAGTATTCTGCCTGCACGTATGCTTACACGCCAGATCCCACTATCGATGGTTGTAAGCCACCATGTAGTTGCTGGGAATTGAACTAAGGACCTCTGGTAGAGCAGTCAATAATCTTAACCTCTGAGCTATCTCTCCAGCTCCTCCTCTCCTTTTTTTAATCGATATCCCAGTGAGTCCAGATGTTAGAATGTTAACTTGATCTTCTGCAGACCATCATGGCTGCAGGGAGGTCATGAGTGCAGTAGCTGTGCCATGTCTCAAGACAGCGTTTTATAGCCCTCCTCCTCATCTGCTGGCTCTTGGGTTAGTTTTGCTCTTCTGAGATTTACTCTGGCCTTGAGGTGGGGAAATAGATGAAAGATGTTCCATTTGGAGCTGAGCACTCAGCAGACACTTGTCAGCACTCTGACCAGTTACAAGCTGTTGTAATAAGAGCTGACCATTGCAAAGAGAAGCTCCCTTGAAAAGGTTGAGGGTATAAGCATAAATATTTAGAAGGCAATTTGACAGCTTGTTGTTTAGTAAAACATCAGTAGTAGGTTCCTCCTGAAGACCTGTGACCTCCTGAACCATGGACTTTTGGCCAAGTTTACAACACCAAGCTTGAATTCCTTCCTGTGGAGCATGCCTCAAACCCAATCCAAAAGTAGTTAGTTACCTCTATAACCTTCATGCTGTTCTTGGTACCACTGGATCACTCTTGCCTGTGGGCCAGTACTGTAGTGTGCTGCATTAGCTGCAGGAATGCCATTGATGTGTTTTCTTCCCCAGCATCCTGCCTTATACCTTCTATGCTATAAAAGCCTTAGCAAGGAAGAAGTTTTCAGGTCAGTTCCTGCTTGATATCTGAATGTCCTGCAGTAAAATGTGTTATGCTTTTATCAATAGGGCTTACCATCTAGATCTGGTGAGGTTGCTTAGTGTCAGTGTATTGTTTGTTTGTTTGTTTATTGTGTGTATGTATGTCTGCATGAGTTTATGTGTATCACATGTGTGCAAGAGCCTGTGGAGGCCAGAAGAGGGTATCAGATCTCCTGGAACTAGAATTACAGGTAGTTAGTTGTGAGCCTCCCTATGGGATCTGGGAACCAAACCTATGTCCTCTGCAAGAGCAGTAAATACTCCTAACTACTGAGCCATCTCTTTGAGCCTCATAAGTGTGTGGTTTTTGGTCTTGTTTTGAGGCAGGATTTTGCTATGTAGCATAGGCTAGCCTTGAACGTTGACAGTCTTCTTATTTCGGCCTCCCAAGTAATGGGATTACCAGTTTGAGATACCATGCCTACCGCCCCACGTTCTTTTTTATCAAATGAAGAAATGAAGGTGCTGTGTGAGAGGTAGCTAAGTTATGATAACAGTAATTTTAGCCAGAATATATAGTGCATTTAGCAAGTGCCAAGTGATATGTCCTTATTCTCATTTTGGCCTCTTAGGACCCTTATGAGACGCTTACTATTTACATCTTGTTTTACAAATGAAGAGTTGAAAGTATTCAAAGTGGACTTGCCCAAGATCTCAGCACTGTCCACTGGGTTTGAACCAAGGTCCATCTGTGTGGAGTGTGTGTGTGCTAGGTTTAAACGTTACAAGGTGATCTATGTTCTTACTGTACTTTACTAGAAGCTTTTAGTGGGCAGAAGCCCCCTTCTGCAGGCCTTGCATCTCTCCTGCCCTCTACTGGAAATAATGATATCTGTCTCTCACACATGAGTCCGGAAGCTGTATGTTAGGTTTGGAGTCTAGCCCTGTAAGTGTTGGGTTTAATATGCAGTTTTATTGAGACTGTCTTACATACAAGCCTTCAACTCTATACTCTGTAAGCATATAAATGCCAGTGCATTTGTTCCCACAATCATTCTCTATAAAAGGCTGTGAGCTTCATTTTCCAGAGGAGAAAACTGAGGCTTAAAAAGGATGAATTATTCAAAATTAAGAATGTATGCTTTGGCTGGGCAGTAGTGGCTCACACCTTTAATCCCAGCACTTGGGAGGCAGAAACAGACATGAATCTGTGAGTTTAAGGCCAGTCTGGTCTACAAAGAGAGTTCTAGGACAGCCAGGGCTGTTTCACAAAGAAACCCTAGCTCAGAAAACTTAAAAAAAAAAAAGTGTGCTTTGGTTTGGAGCTAGTGGTGCCCATATGCCTTGGTTTTTCCTTCCAGATTGTAATGGTATCAACACTTATTTGGAAGGAAGGCTTAAAGGTTTTGGGAATGTTGCAGAAAAAACAGCAAAGCATCCAGGTAGTGGTGGCGCACGCCTTTAATCCCAGCACTCGGGAGGCAGAGGCAGGCGGATCTCTGTGAGTTCGAGGCCAGCCTGGTCTACAAGAGCTAGTTCCAAGACAAGCTCCAAAGCCACAGAGAAAGCCTGTCTCAAAAAACAAACAAACAAAAAATCAACAAAGCAGACTGCAGAGTGAATGGTGCCCTAGTATTTATATATTGTCATCCTTTGTGATCCCTGTCATGGCCAGTGAGTACCAACAAACCAACAGCCAGAAATCTAACCAGGACAGGCTGGAGCCTAGCCTTCCTGCCTTCTCTTGAGTCTGGCTATGGGCCTCAAATGGTTTCTCTCTTACGTGGGAAAAGATGGATAGGATACACAGTAGACAGCCCACACACACATCCCTGTGCCCCATCCCCTTGACTAGACTATGTGATCTTTAGCCCCTAGTCTCTCAGAAATTGTGGTAGTACTGGCCTCATGGATTATCATAAAGCTTAAAAATTCAGTGTGTCAAGGCCTGGTGACATGCCTTTAATCCCAGCACTCAAGAAGCAGAGGCAGGTGGAAATCTGTGACTTTGAGGCAACCTGGTTTACAAAGCAAGTTCCAGGATAGCCAGGACTACACACAGAGAAACCCTGTCTTGAAAAAGACAAACAAGAAGTTCAGTGTGTATGTAAAGCACCCAGATGAATACTTGAAGAAAAAAAAAAGAAGAACATTATGTGCTTTTCTGGTGTTACTGTGTGATGACAATTCTCCACCTGTGTTCCAGGCATCCCACCTGACGAAAGTCCCCGTCGGGGTGGTCCTGCTGGGCCCTACACTCAGTCCCAGCGGCTGGCACTGTATGCCCAGGCCACAGAAGCATTGCTGAAGTCTGGAGCTGCCTATCCGTGTTTCTGTTCACCACAGCGGCTGGAGCTCCTGAAGAAGGAAGCCTTGAGGAGCCGGCAGACACCCCGGTGAGATCCCTAGACCATTTTGGATGCCTCCCCAAGCCTGTGTTTGTAGCATCTCTGATTCTGCGGGTCAGACATTTGGGTAGGGCTTAGCTGGGCTCTTTGGGTCTGGGTGTCTTTCAAAGCTACAGTTGGGCCGAAGTCTAGCCTGCAGTTCCCTAGAATTTGTTTGAGGAGGATTTGCATCCATCTCCCCAGAGGCTGTTTGCAGGCCGAGGGTCTTACTATGTTGTCTGTTGCTCATCAGGTAGGTTTCCTCTAACCAACTAAACTGCCAAAATACACACAAGGGCTGTCTTTTTCTTTTCTTATTTCCAGAGCTGAGGACCAAACCCCCTTTCTTTTTATCTTTTTGGTAGTGCTTAAAGTTGAACAAATGACCTGGTACATTCTAGGCAAAGATTCCTGTAACTCTACTATATCTCAAAACTACACAGGTAAGTCGGGCGGTGGTGGCGCACGCCTTTAATCCCAGCACTCGGGAGGCAGAGGCAGGTGGATCTCTGTGAGTTCGAGACCAGCCTGGTCTACAGAGCTAGTTCCAGGACAGGCTCCAAAGCCACAGAGAAACCCTGTCTCGAAAAACCAAAAAAAAAAAAACTACACAGGTCTGCATAGGACAGCTCACAGCTTGGCAATTAAATGTACCTAACTGTGGAAGTGACATCTTACCACTGTGTTCTTTCCTTAAAAAGGAGTCAGTGTGAGTTCAGCCCATACTTAGAAGAAGGACATTGTAAAGCCTGAATGCCAAGAAGCAGGATCAGTCATTGTGGCTATAGAGGAAGCTGCTGGTTATACTGTACCTCAAGCGATACTAGTTTTAATAATAATAATAATAACAACAACAACCTATTATAATGTATAAAAAATTTTACGGGCTGGAGAGCGTGCTCAGTAGTTGAGAATACTTAATTGGCTATGTATGGTGACACACACTTTTAATACTAGAACTTGGGAGGCAGAGGCAAGTAGATCTCTGTGAGTTTGAAGCTAGCCAGTTCTACATAGTGAATTCCAGGGCGGCCAGGTTTATGTAAAGAGAAACTATCTCAAAACACAAAACAAAAAAAGCTTACTGATCTTGTTGGGGATCCAAGTTCAGTTCTTAGCACCCAGTTCATAACCAATTCTAGAGGAATCTGATTCTTCTAGCCTTTATAAACACGTGTACTCAGCTGGGTAGTGGGAGGATCTCTTTGAGTTCAAGGCCAACCTGGTCTACTTGAGCTAGTTCCAGGACAGGCTCCAAAGCTACAAAGAAACCCTGTTTTGAAAAACAAACAAACAAATGAATAAATAAAAAACACCTGTACTCACATGCACATACTCCCCCCACACACTAAAATATTATTAAATATAATAAAAGTAGGTGAGTGTGGCAGCACATGCCTTTAATCCCAGCACTTAAGAGGCAAGAGGCCAACAAATACCTGTGAGTACAGGGCTAGTTTGATCTACAGAGCAAGTTTAAGGTCAGTAAGGACTTCACAGTGTGACCCTATCTCAAACAAACAAAGAAACAAAACAAAACATAAAAATCTAAAAATCTTTTCATGTTTGGTACTTATATGGGCGCACTTATGCAGCACGTACCACAGTGAGTATGTAGAGGTCAAAGGACAGTTTTCCTGAGTTGGTGCTTTCCTACCATATGGAAATTGAACTTAGGTCATTAATCTTGGCAGGAGGCACCCTCATGCACTGAGCTATTTCACTAGCTTCATGTTTATTACTACTCCAAAAAAATACAGAAACATCTCCCTTAACCCTCCCTTTATCTACTCATTTCTCCTCTCAAGAGGCAATTGGTACCAGCTGGTGTTCAGTGCCTATGCTGACAAACAGAAAGTACTGTTACCTTTTCTAGTAAATGGTAGTGTGCAGTATACTACACACCTCTTGTCTTGAGGAAGTTTCTATATCAGCCCATAATTTTTTTTCTTACCCTTCTATACTATTCCATTTATGACATGGCATGGTGACATTTGCCTGTAATCCCAGCATTCAGGAGACAGAGGCAAGAAGATCAGCAGTTCAGGGTCATTCTTAGCTACCTTGGAACTTTGAAGCCTTCCTGGACTTTGTGAGACCCTTTTCAAGAAACAAGGGGACTGGGGAGATGGTTAAGCAGTTAAGAGCAGTGTAGAGGATTATTTAAATTATTTAGAATTTTTTTGTTTTGGGCTGGGGAGATGGCTCAGTGGTTAAGAGCACTGACTGCTCTTCCAGATGGACCGTGCACCCACATGGCAGCTCACAACTGTCTGTAATTTCAGTTCCAGGGAACCCAATACCCATGGCAAAACACAAATGCACATAAAATAAATACATTTTTTAAAAAAGTTTGTTTTATTTATTATACGTATAGTGTTCTGCCTGCATGCAGGCCTGTATGCCAGAAGAAGGTACCAGATCTCATTACAGATGGTTGTGAGCCACCATGTGGTTGCTGGAAATTGAACTCAGGACCTTTAGACAAGCAGACGGTGCTCTTAACCACCAAGCCATCTCTCTAGCCCTTAATGCTTTCTTTTGTAAGTTGTCTTGCTCATGGTGTTTGTCACAACAAAAGAAAAGCAACCAGTACAGTGAGGGAACTTTGAAATATACCTTTTGCCTCTGTGCTATGTATGTAGGATAGTGTCATAGTTTATTTGCTGTGATAAAATACCCTGACAAAAGAAACTTAAGAAAGAAGGGTTTCTTCTGGTTCACAGTTTGATTTTCCTTCATGGCAAGGAAGTCCAGGTAGCAGGGGTTTAAAGCATCTGCTCGCATTATGTCCATATTGAGCGTGAAGAAAGAATGGATGCTGATGCTCAGCTCCTTTTCATTTTTTTTAAAATTTTTCTTTTCTATTTTTATTTGTGTGTGTGGTTTATTTGTTTTGCTTTGTTTTTGTTTGTTACTGTTGTTTTCCAAGACAGGGTTTCTCTATGTAGCCCAGGCTGGCCTCAAACTCACAGAGATCCCCCTGCCTCTGCCCCACACCCCCACCCCAGGTGCTGAGATTAAAGGCATGTGCCACCATGACCAGCTGTTTGTTTTTAATTGTAAACAGACTATATTACATTGGTACAAAGAATTGTTTTTAGTTATGGTCACATGATATCATGGGATCTATGAGAGTTGATTGAAGAGTTAGATGTATCAAGAACTGAGCCTGCAAGCTTCACATTTGTGTTTATTAGGACACTGTTGGATATACATTTAGAAAGTTAAAAGTGATGGACAGAGGCCAGTGAATTGGCTCAGTGAGTGAAGTTGCTTACTGCATATGCCTGGAAACCTGAGTTCTAGCCTAAGAACCCGTGTGAAAGGTGAAACAACAGAACTGGCTCCATAATGCTCTCTTCTGACTTCCTCATGTGCACCATGGTATGTGCACTTCATGCACACGCATAATAATAATAATAATAATAATAATAATAATAATAATAATAAATTTTTAAAAACATTTTTTCCAATACAGGGTTTCCCTATATAGCTCTGACTGTCCAGAAACAAGCTCTTTAGATTCAAGCTGTCCTTGAACTCAGAAACCCACCTATTTCTCCTCCTGAGTGCTGGCATTAAAGGTGTGTGCCACCACTTTCAGCTAAAACTTTGTGTGGAGGGCGGGGAGCAAACCAGAGGCCTGGGGAGCTGGCTTAGTAGTTAGGAATTTATACTGCTTTGCACAGGACCAGAGTTGAGTTCTCAACACCCACATTAGACAGCTCACAACTACCTGCCACTCCAGCTCCAGGGGCTTCCAGCAGTTCTGGCTTCCACAGGCACTGTGCTTAGGTGTACTTACATACACATAATTTTTATAACAATTTTTGAAGAAGTAATCAACTAAAAAAAAGAGAAGTGAAAGATAAAATTTTAAAATGACAGCAACAACAGCTCCCTGTACTTTCTCTAGTAGGCGAATCATCTGGGCTTATGATTACCCTGTAGATTCTTGCTTAGCAGGTCTGAAGTTGGGGTCTGAGTTTCTCATAAGTTCCCTAGTGAAGCTGATGCTGGTAGTCATGCCTACTTTGAATGAGGAGGATGTGAGCCACATCGACCTTATTTGTGCATCTTGTGGAAAATCTGGTGATGGTTACTCCACACTAAGAGGAGCAGCCTTGAGATAACTCTGGGGTGAACTCTGACTGTCACCCCACCTGCTGACAGCCTTGCCATCTCTCCCTTAATTGTCTGTGGGGTTAACAGTTCCAATCTGGCTCCTCAGAGGGTGGCATCCACAGAGTATTCCTGGGAGGTATAAAAGGAGGGATTTTCCCCCCTAGAGGTACATCTTAGGGCTGGAGAGATGGCTCAGAGATTAAGAGCACTGGCTGCTCTTCCAGAGGTCCTGAGTTCAATTCCCAGCACATGGTGGCTTACAACCATCTGTACTGAGATCTGGTGCTTCTGGCGTGTGGGCATACATGGAGGCAGAATGTTGTATACATAATAAATAAATAAACCTTAAAAAAAAAAAAAAGAAGTACATCTTAACCTCATTGGGAAGAAATAACTTTCCCAGGACCCTAGTCCTTCTTTACCTACCAAGTGTTGTTTTCTTTGATTTTCAATGAATAGAATGGGTTTACATTCCTACCTGGGTCCATCACTGGCACCAGGTCACAAGATTACAACATGGCCTGTACTCATTGTAAGCCTACTTTTGATCTAAGCATTTTCCCATCTCCTCCTTAGCAAAAGAAAAGGAACAGCAAAACATTAGTGTCTGCTGCACTGTTACCCACATGACTTTATTTTTAAACTTCCATTTTAGATAGAAGAAACCCCTTCAAGAGGTTACTGCATTGCCCAGGGTCATAAGGTATCAGATACCAAAGGTTCAGTTGGTAGTGCTTACTAGCATATCCAGGGCCTTGAGTAAAATCTACAGCACTGTAAGTAAAAACCAGAACTTGAAAGACAAGTGGGGTATCTGTCCATTGATGGTTCTTTTAGCTGCTCTGCTGCTCTGTCTCCCAATAGGTATGACAATCGGTGCCGGAGCCTGAGCCAGGCACAGGTGGCCCAGAAGCTGGCCATGGACCCCAAGCCTGCTATCCGCTTCCGCCTGGAGGAGGCAGCACCAGCCTTCCAGGACCTTGTATATGGTTGGACTCAACATGAAGTGGCCAGTGTGGAGGGGGATCCAGTTATCCTGAAGAGTGATGGCTTCCCCACCTACCACCTAGCCTGTGTGGTGGATGACCACCACATGAGCATCAGCCATGTGCTGAGGGGCTCTGAGTGGCTCGTCTCCACCTCAAAGCACCTGCTTCTCTACCAGGCCCTGGGCTGGCAACCGCCTCAATTTGCTCATCTGCCCCTGCTCCTCAACAGGGATGGTAGCAAGCTGTCTAAGAGGCAGGGGGACATTTTCCTGGAACATTTTGCTGCCTCTGGTTTTCTGCCTGAAGCCTTGCTTGACATCATCACCAACTGTGGCTCGGGGTTTGCAGGTACATATGCACCAGAGTGGTCCTAGTGGCTGAGCTTGAGGCTTTAATACAGACAGATCTGCTTGTCAGTCCCAGCATTGCCACCTATCAGTTACATGATCCTGGACAAGTTCATTATTCTAGTCAGCAGTGTTTATTGAGTCATGCTACTGTGCTTCCTCACTTGGTTTTCCCACACAGCTGTTGTTGATGGAGTGGACTCACAGTAGGCACTGCCCCTGCCCTCAGAGACCTAGAGTCCCATTAATCTTGTTCATATGATAGGGCTAAGACTGTGCTCTGTAGGGTTAATTAGGAGCCAGTAAGCTTATAAATATAAGGAACCAGCTCACTGTCTGGCCACACCATAAGCTTTAAAGCCACAGACCTTATGATTACTGTGATTACATAAGTACGAGCTCTAACAGTATTACTGGTGTACTGTGAATCTAGCTTATTCAAGGTTTAGAACACAAACCTTGAAGAAGCCGGGCGGTGGTGGCGCACGCCTTTAATCCCAGCACTCGGGAGGCAGAGGCAGGTGGATCTCTATGAGTTCGAGGCCAGCCTGGTCTACAAGAGCTAGTTCCAGGACAGGCTCCAAAGCTACAGAGAAACCCTGTCTCGAAAAAACAAACAAAACAAAACAAAACAAAACAAAACAAAAAAAAACCTTGAAGAAACAAGTACCAAATAGGATGACTCCTTGTGGCAATAACTTGATAATTCTAGTTTCTAAGGTGATTTTGAGGCTCGAGGAGGTTGTAACTTGCCAGAGTCACATCCTTAGTAAAGGATAGTGTTCTTTTGTTTTGTTTTGTTTTGTTTTGTTTTTCAAGACAGGGTTTCCCTGTAGCTTTGGAGCCTGTCTTGGGACTAGCTCTGACAGATCAGGCTGATCTCAAACTCACAGAGATCTGCCTGCTTCTGTCCCCCCTCCCCCAAGTGCTGGTATTAAAGGTGTGCACCACCACCTCCCAGCAAGGATATAGTTCTTGAGGCCCATGCCTGACCATGGTGTCTTCTGACTGCACTAAAGGTATTGCTGCTCACTAAGAAGGTGCTTCCAGGGGGCTGGAGAGATGGCACAACAGCTGAAAACTCTTGCTAGTATGAGTTCTATTCCCAACATCCATATCAGATGGCTCACAACTGCCTGTAACTCCAGTGGCAAGGATCTGACAGCCTCTTCCAACCTCCATGGGTAGGCTTGTGTAACTTGCGTGTGCACACACACATAAACTAAAAATAAGAAAATGTTCAAAAAACAGCTTTCCATCTGGGTGTGGTGTTACACACTTGGAATCCCAACGTTAGAGAAGCTGAAATAAGAGGATTGCTAGTTTGATGTCAGTCTGGACTTTATAATACCAAAGTCCTTTCTCAAACAAAACAGAAAAGCAGCAACTTCCAGCACTGAGGTTCCACTGTGGCATTAAGTATGAAGTTTGTAGGGCATGCTGGTGCCATACTTTACTCAGAGCCAAGCACACAGAAGCTCTGGAGTAGCCAGGCAGTGGGCACACTGTTCTTGCAGTTTTGATCCAAACCTGGGAAGCCTATAGCTTGCTCACTTGCTCTTCTTTGTGTGTGAAAGTGGGAGAAAAGCTGGGCAGTGTAATCAACATCTATATTCCAGCTGTGTGGGAAACTGAGGCCAGAGGATCAAAATCTGTAGGCCAGCCTGGGCAATGCAGAAAGATAAAAGTAATTACAGAAATAAGCTGAGGGAGGGGCCGAGCAGCTGAGTGGACCTGACTTGCAGAGAACCAAATGGGCAGGACCCTGCCGGAGCTGATAACACAGTTTGACCTGACCCGGATCACCTGCCACTCAGCTCTGTTGGACCTGGAGAAGCTCCCAGAATTCAATAGGTAAGTGGGAGAGCCAAGTACTATGGTGCATACCTGTATTCCCAGCACTTGGAAAACTTGAGAGAGGTGAATTGTAAATCCTGGGCCAGATTGGATTACATAGTGGCCTCAAATATACTATGTAACCAATTGATGACCTTGTATCTTGATCCTCCTGCTTCCACCTTTCAAGTGCTCAAATTACAGGAGTGTGTCAGCATACTGACTCAACTGCACTTGTTTTAAGTATATGACTTAATCAGTTCTGTAATTTTGCTATATGTTAGCTATAGGAGATCCAAGACAGAATTTAAATGACTAGCACAAGACAGAATTTAAATGACTAGCACACAGTGGACAATGAGGCATTTCTTGCATGGGGCCTGCAAGAGTGAATGTAATCTAGATGCAATATAACTACCATTTTTTTTTTAAAAAAATCTCACAGATGTGCTATTTTAGGGGGACATGGAGTCCAATTAGAGATACACTGTGATGCCTCCCAAGCCTCCTTGAAAGACAGGGAAAGGAGGGAGTACTTAGGACTGATGCCCACAGACTTAATCTAACCAATAATTATCCTCAGATGTTTCTGTCATCATGCCACTGCCGTGCTTACTTCAGAGACATGGTAAATATATTAGAAGGCTTATTAGTGTTCCAGCAGCAGTAGCAGTAAATACTGGTAGTGTATGAACATGGGAATTGTAATTAAGAATCATTTAGTTTGACTATGTTCCAGGCTTGAATTTATGGTGTATCAATTCAGCATGGCCAGGGCTTCTCTGTGTAACAGTCCTGGCTGTCCTGGAACTCATTTTGTAAATCAGGCTGGTCTCGAATTCACTGAGATCTGCTTGCCTCTGTCTTCCAAGTACTGGAATTAAAGGCATGCACCACAACCACCCGACTATGTTTTCTGTAATACTCTTGTTTTTGTTTGTTTGTTTGTTTCAAGACAGGGTTTCACTGTAGTTTTAGAGCCTGTTTAGCTCTTGTAGATCAGACTGGCCTCAAACTCACATAGTTCTTCCTGCTTTTGCCTCCCAAGTGCTGGGATTAATTGCATGCACCGCTACTGCCCAACTTCTGTAATATTCTTTTGAAAAATATTTTTTTCAACCAAATTACTTTTGCCTGTAATTCCAGCACTGGGGGTTGAGGTGGGAAGATACAGAGTTTTAGGCCAGCCCGACTACATAGAACCTATCTCAAACATCAGAAGCTAAGCAAAAAGTTTTTAATGTTTTTGTCAGTGTACATTCGAGATAGCTTCCCATAATGTCTTGTCTTCCATCTTATGACATACCTGGAGCCTCAGACTCCTACAGGCTGCAGCTCCCAAATGGGTGACTTCCAAACCCTGGCATCAGTACTTTGAATGTAGATCCATACTTAACCTTCATTACCACCCTGTCTGTGCCAAGGCTTCCCAGCTTTCTAATGGCTGTGTGACTGATTGCAAACTCTTGCCAGGCAGGCTTTGGACACAGGATTGTTCCAGTCCCAGCCCTATGAGCTGTTTGCCACTTTACTGCCTAGCTTTCCTCTATAACACAGACAAGGGGCCACAGGACTTAGAATGGTCCCTGGTTCTGCACTGCTGAGTCTCCTTGGCAGCATGGGAACTGAAGATGACTGGGTTTTGTATGAGGGTTGGACTCTTAAGAGGCTTTACTGTTCAGAAGGAGAAAATCAGAGAGTGAATTCCAGAAAAAAGATACATTTGGCCGGGCTGTGGTGGCGCACGCCTTTAATCCCAGTACTCTGGAGGCAGAGGCAGGCGGATCTCTGGGAGTTTGAGACCAGCCTGGTCTACAAGAGCTAGTTCCGGGACAGGCACCAAAGCTACAGAGAAACCCTGTCTCGAAAAACAAAAAACAAACAAACAAAAAAAAAAGATTAATTTGAACAGAACAGAAAGCTCCAGCTTTGAAGCTGAAGCTGAGTGCTTCATTGAAACAGCCCCTTGTTCCAATCCTAGGAATACATTTTTACCTCTCCTTTTATATTGGTGTTTCATAATCCAAGAGAGGCCAAAAAGCACATTCCTGGATCCTATTGATAAACTCAGGTGCCTGTAGTAATTGGGTGATGGTGTGGAAAGGGAGAGGCTAGTAAGACACCAAGGAGGAGAGGGCCAGGGCAACTGGAGGACAGGAATCTGAGCCAGCAGCGTGGATCCAGCCTGCTCCAGCCACTTAAGGGGCTTGTGCACCCAGAGCTGCTTCTTCCACGGGAAAACCAGAATGTTCCTTATGTGATCTAGCTTAAAATAGTTCCTTTGCTGGCTGTAGCTGAGTTTTAGAATGTTTCCTTAGCATGCATAAGGCCCCGAGTTTGCTCCCTACCACCTCAAAAGTCATAGGAAAAAAAATCAGCTACTATTTTTAAAACACTAAAAATACTTGGTGTGGTGTTGTGCACCTTTAATCTACGCTTGGGGTGCAGAGGCAGGTGGATCTGTGGTTTTTGTGGCTAGCTGGGTCTACATAGTGAGTTCCAGGCCAGCTAGGGATATATAGGGAGACCTTGTCTATAAATAAATAAATAAATAAGTGGAAGAGTAAGTAAATAAAAACACTGAAAACAAATCATGTCTGCCTAGACTTAAGCTGGCTGTGACCTCGATCAAATCCTGTCCCTTTTATACATACAAAAAAAATTACATTTATCTATGGGTTTTGAAGATGTGAGTGACTGTCTTCAAATCCCTATTGTTGCCCCAAGGGGAAAGATTTGGCATAGTCCTGGGGTACTCATACCAAGGCATCCTCCTCATTTACCCTCAGACTGCACCTCCAACGGCTGGTGAGCAGTGAGACCCGAAGACCTCAGTTGGTGAAGAAGCTGCAGGCCCTGGTGAAGGAGGCATTCGGGAGCCAACTGCAAGACAAGGACGTTCTGGACCCAGCATATGTGGAGAGGATCATCCTGCTGCGACAGGTATGGAATTAGGGCCTCCTTTCCCCTTCCAGTGTTTCTCAACTCCTCCCAGTGCATGTGATGACTGCCTCTCTCTCTCGCCAGGGCCACATCAGCCGTCTGCAGGATCTGGTCTCCCCAGTGTACTCCTACTTATGGACTCGTCCTGCCGTCCATCGAGCACAACTGGGTGTTGACTCAGAAAAGGTGGATGTGATTGTCAAACGCTTGCTGGGGTAAGTGTGCACACACCTGGCTAATGGTTAGACACACCCTTCCCATTCTTTGCCCTTGCCTCTCTACACCAGACCTTTTGGACCCTATCACAAAACTGTGACAAACTTAAAAAAAATGCTCTCTCACTGGCTTCTCAGGTAAGGACAGCAACCCCGAAGGTCTAGATGGCTTCCCCTCCCAGAACTTCCTTTTCCTCTGCTGTGTGTAGGGGGAGAATACCTGGCTTACTGTAGATATAACAGGGTTTTTGTCTAATTAAACTTTTAAAGGTTTATTTAGTTTTATTTTATGTGTCTGAGTGTTTTGCCCGCATGTACGCCTGTGTACCATTTTTGTGTCTGATATATTATTAATACACTAATTTTTTTTGGCTAGGGGGGGAGGGCTTTAAGGCAGGGTTTCTCTGTAACAGCCCTAGCTGTCCTGGCACTTGCTTTCTAAATCAGTCTGGCCTTGAACTCACAGAGATCCACCTGCCTCTGCCTCCCAAGTTCAGGGATTAAAAGCGAGTGCCACCACTGCCCAGCACACTGAAACTTTTTAAGCCTAGGCTTTAAATGTGAATATTATAAGCTAGACATGGTGGTGTACAATTATACCCTGGTGTATTCTTCCATCTGCCTAATTCTTCTCATAATTGTAATTTCTGTTTTCCATTTTATCCCAAAAGGTATAGTACAGTGATAATGTTTGGATATATTTTCCACTTTTTTCTTTTTTTCTTTATTTTTGTAGAGATAGGTACTATATGTTGCCCAAGCTAGTACAAAACTGATCAAAAATGATCTTTCTGCATCTTTCCAGGCAGCTAAGACTGTAGGCATGGAGTACTGTACCCAGCAGTAGTATGCCTAGATTTGTCCAATGCTTGAAAGTCTCCTCATTCCTTTCTATGGCTAACTTTACTTGTAATACCATTTCAACAAGAATTTAATTAATCTACTTATTTATATTAGGGTTGCTTCCAAATTTTGCTTTTAGAAATTATTGTACAGTGACTAAACTTGCAAGGTTATTTCTAAGTATATTTGCAAGTCTACCCCCAATCAGTACCCTCAGTCAGTACCCAAGTAATTTGGTATATTCCATAGTAGGGTCTTTTTTTTTTTAAAGATTTTATTTATTTATTAAGTATACAATATTCTGCCTGCATGTATATTCACACCAGAAGAGGGCACCAGATATCACTATAGATGGCTGTGAGCCACCATGTGGTTGCTGGGAGTTGAACTCAGGACCTCTGGAAGAACAGTCAGTGTTCTTAACCTCTGAGCCATCTCTCCAGCCTCATAGTAGGGTCTTTAATTCTTTTTTCTTTTGTTTTGTTTATTTGTTGTTTGTTGTTGTTTGAGACAGGGTCTCACTATATAGCCTTGGCTGGTCTGGAACTCATGTATAGACCAGGCTGTCCTCAAACTTGTAGAAATCCACCTGTTTCTGACATCATCCAAGAACTGGGAGTAAAGTACCAAATTTAGCATTGTTTTAAACATTGGTGTAGATTTGTACATGTGAATGCAGTGCCCGTGGAGAGTAGAGATAAATGGAGCCACCCAGTGTGAACCAAGCTCAAGTCCTCTGAAAGAGCAGTATATACTTTTAACTGCTGACCGTCTCTGCAGCTGTTAATTCCAGTTCACCAAGACCATGTCTCAACTTCTCATCCTTGTCGTGGATTAGATTTTAGAGACACTGGGACTCTCACTCAATTCAGGAAAGTTGATACCCAAATGCCTAGGAGCCCCTAGACCACTTTTGTACCAGTGTCAAGGTCTCAGCCAGCTCTAATGTCTCCTGGGGTGCCATTAGCAGCTTCCTGGGACTTGTCCTTCTGTTCTTTGGCAGCCTCTTTCCCTGAATACAGTGACAATTAAGGAATGTCCATTTTCTTCCTATCTTGCACTTTAGATTTTTAGTATTTCATCTCCTTGATTTTATAAACAGTAGTGATCCTGTGCCCAGTTAATGATTGCCTTTGGTCCAGTAAGACTGCTGTGATAAAAACACCATAGACTTCTGTAAACAACAGGTTCTTCCAGTGCTAGTGCCAAAAGCTGGGGGTCTACAGATGAGTGCCAACTGACTCAGTAGCAGCCAATGGCTTTGTCCTCCTTGGTTTTTCATGTCCTCAGCTGCTGAAGTCTGGCAGTTGTTAACATTGAGAGGCTGTTTCTTCAGATTATTTATAAGACCACTCCACACTGAGCTGCCACTCAGAGCACCATGGTGTGGACCCCATCAGGAGCAGCAGGGGTCTGCTCATGTAGCATTGATATAGCACCTCTGTCTTACCGTTTTAGAAGTTGGTTTGTTTTTGTTTTGTATTGTGTGTGTGTGTCCGTGGAGATTATAAAGGGGCACTGATTCCTTAGAATTGAAGTTAAAGGTGGTTGTAAGCCACCTGACATGGGTACTGGGAACCAAACTTGGGTTCTCTAAAAGCAGTAAGTGCTCATAACTGCTAAGCCATCTTTCCAGCCCCTGGGATATAATCCTAAGGGACTGGGAAAGCTGCAGTGGAATGTAGTCACGTACTGCCTCAATCAGAGCTGGGTTAGATGGCTTATAAGTCCAGCTCTCACTAGTTGGGGACCACTTGAAACTCAAATATGCTTCCAGGAGATGAGGATGGTTGCTGACTGGTGGAGTTTAGATCCTTCATGTTTCTGTTTGTGGGGAAAGAGGCTCTCTACCTAGCATGTTGACAGTGAAGCTGTTCCTAGAGCTGCTGTTTCCTGATGTTTTCTTTCTCTTCTTCTGTGCTATACTCCCCTTGACAAATCTTGAAGCTGTTTCAAGTAATTCCTTAGAAATTACCTATTCTTTCATTCTGTGTCCAACCCATTCCCAAGTTTTCTTTCTAGGTTCTTCTGCAATGTCTCTGAGCTGTTCGGTATAGTAAATACTAAGTTTTTTGTTTGTTTTTGTTTTTTGTGACAGGGTTTCTCTGTGTAGCCCTGACTGTCCTTGAACTTGCTCTATAGACCAGGCTAGTCTGCCTCTGCCTCCCCAGCTCTGGGATTATAATCATGACCATTACGCCTGCCTCAGACTCACTCTCTTTTAGAGTTTTAGAAACATCTGGTTTGAGCCTAACTCAGGATGTGGTGAACAGAGAACTGAAGAAGCTTTCAGAAGGCCTAGAAGGTACCAAGTACAGCAGCGTGATGAAGCTCCTCCGAATGACCCTCAGTGGACAGATGGTAAGATGGAATATGTACTGAAGTGTTGTAGATAGTCCCTCATTGACCCTCCCAGCCAATGTTCATAGTCTGGTACTAAGGCCAGTCCAGGGGGATGATAAACTGATGAACAGATCACTTCCCTCATTTACCCACTGAGCATCTTCTGGGTCCAGGCACTGTGATAGTTACAGTGGAGATGGCTTAAACAGAACACATATCCCTTCCTCATGGAGATCATGAGAATAATAGATTACCAATTTGCCAAAGGCAGAAACAGCCTCCCGAGAGCCATTGAATGGGAAAAAAATTCAGGCAAGTAGGACTGAATAGGGCTGGGTTATAACTTAGTGCTGAAGCATTTGCTAGCATTCATGAAGCTCTAAGGTTGATCCCTAGCTCTGGAAAAATAAAAACAGGGGCTGGAGAGATAACTCAGAGGTTAAGAGCACTCTGGGGAACCGGCTTCAGTTCCCAGCACCCACATGTCATTGCACAATTCTCTGTATCTCCAGTTCCAGAGGATCTGACACCCTCACACAGACACACATGCAGGCAAAGCTCCCATATACAAAAAACAAAACTTAAAAAAAAAATCACCTTAGACAAAAGAAAATACAATAAATACAGGCTCCATTCCTGGGGTTGCAGGCTGTGGGTTGGGGCTGGTCTGTGGGTTGTGGTCTACAGATTGAGACATTGAAAATAAGCATGCATTCCTTCTACAATTCGAGGCAAACAAAAACAGAATTTTTGTGTTTTTTCTTTCTTTCTTTTTTTTTTTTTTTTTTTTTTTTTTAGCAAGGACCTCCTGTGGCTGAGATGATGGTGTCTTTGGGCGCAAAGGAAGTACAGGAGCGAATCCAGAAGGTGCTTTCTAGCTAAGGAGAAGATGAATAGGAATAAGGCAGCTCTGAAGGCCTCTACACATGGAAACTGCATTCTGAGGAGATCAGGAGGCCTACAGCCCATTTGGAGACTTTCAGGATCAACAGTAAGAGAAACAGACTCTCTGAATACCCTCATCAGCTGGCCTTCGGGGAAGCCCAGCCTGCTTCACCTCACTGATTCTGGAAAGGATGAACTTGAACTCATACCTTTTTTTTTTTTTTTTTTAACCTATTTTGTTTTTGTTTTCTGAGATAGGGTTTCTCTGTGTAAGGGTCCTAACTGTTCTGGAACTCACTCTGTAGACCAGGTTGGCCTCAAACTCAGAGATCTGCTTGCCTCTGCCTCCCAAGTGCCGGGAGTAAAGGTGTGTGCCACTACTGCCTGGTTCTTTTCTATTTTTAATGTGTTTGGATAGTTTGTCTCCATGTTTGCCTGTGTATCACTTGCATACGTCCAGTGATTCTTGGAAAGGCAAGGAGAACATAGATTGCCTAGAAATAGAGTTTCAGAGGGTTTTGAGCTACCATTTGGGTACTTAGAATTAAACCCAGGTCTTCTGGAGGGGCAGCCAGTGTTTAATCACTGAGCCATCTCTCCAGCCCCTTGTGTTGATTTTCGTGCCATATTCTACAGCAGATATTAGGAGCTAGTTTACAGAAAAGATCAACATTCCAAATCAGTCCAGAGGACTGAGGTCTTGGTTCATTAGGCTGCATAATAAAATATCACAGAATATAGTGACTTAAACAAAAACTATTGATTTGTTTAATGTCCTAGAGACTGGAAGTACAAGGTAAGTGTCATAGGGTCAGTTTCTTGAGGGCACCTCTCCTGAATTGCAGTGTCCTCCCAGGGTCTTTCCTTTGTGCACATTTATCCCTGTTTCCTTTCGGTGTATCCTAGTGTTTCTCAAGGGCACCAGTCAGGCCAAATGCTACTCACTCTCACAGCCTCATTTTCGCCTAAATAACACCCCTTTAAAGTTTGACATCGTATGATACTGAAGCTTAGGATTTCTATAATTGGAATAGTAGGCAGGGCGCAGTTTAGTCCACAATAGTTCAGTGCTAGTTTGGACCCATGGGCCCCAATTCTCAGGCCCCTTCTGAAGGTAGAGCCATAATGGACACAAGCAGGACCAAATAGACATCAGACTTTCCTTTCAATTGTAAAGAGAGAAGTTGCTCTTCTAGCCAGGTAAACACTTGTGTTTGGTGTTGCTTTTTGTCCTTGGACTTAGGGTAGCCTGTATCTTCTTTCCTTGAAGGTCATCTGCTCTCTTCCAGTTCCCAAGACATGATGCTTAATCTAGAGACCTTCACTCTTCTTATATTTGGTGCCTTTCATCATATCCACCATTGCTTGTAAGTCATTGTATTCAGATTCCTGAAATCAGGTTTCTGTTCTTGAGGTCCTAACTAACTCAGAGTAGCTTAAGGAGCATGGTGACCAGGTACCTGGCTTCTAGGCTTTCTTAGGGACAGCCTCTCTGCACCAGCACTCTCTCCTGAGGACAACAGACGTGTAACCAGTAGGCTGTTAGAGTGGTAGAGGCTTGATCACAAAGGACCTTGCCATCTCCTGAAACCAGGAAGACTCTCAGTGGAGGAATTGGAACACCAACCCAGCCTCAAAACCTTCAACCTACAATTTGTCCTGCCTACAAAATATGCTGTGGTAAAGGTGACACAGAAATTGGGAGTGGATGACCAATGTCCTCCCCAGCTTGAGATCCATGCCACAAGAGGGAACCTACCCCCGACACTGCCTGGAAAGCTCTAAAGCCAGGAAACAAAAGCTAGGTAGCCAGAGACCTAGGATAGAGCCAAACATGACTGGCCAAAAAAAAATAGTAAATAAAATAATTCCTAATGATATTCTGCTATACTCATAGACCAGAGTCTAGCATAATTGTTGTCAGAGAAGCTTCATCCATCAACTAAGGAAACAGATGCAGAACTCAGGGAATCCTGCGTAAGAGGGGGTAGAAGAATTATAGAAGGGGCTGGAGAGATGGCTCAGTGGTTAAGAGCATTGCCTGCTCTTCCAAAGGTCCTGAGTTCAATTCCCGGCAACCACATGGTGGCTCACAACCATCTGTAAAGAGGTCTGGTGCCCTCTTCCGGCCTGCAGGCATACACACAGACAGAATATTGTATACATAATAAATAAATAAAATAAATATTTAAAAAAAAAGAATTATAGAAACCAGAGGGAACAAGGACACTACAAGAAAACTCATAGAATCAATTAACCTGGGCCCATAGGGACTCACAAAGACTGAACCAAGAACCAGGGAGCCTGTGTGGATCTGACTTAGGCCCTCTACATAACGTGCGATAGTTATGTAGCTTGGTGTTCTTGTGGAATCCCTAATAGTGGGAACAGGAGCTGTCTGAATTTTTTTGCCTGCTTTTGTGACTTTCCCCCCAGTGGGTCACCTTGTCCAGCCTTAGGGGAAGTGCATTGTCTTATTGCAATTTGATAAGCTGTTTGGTTGGTATTGCTGGAAGGCCTGCCATTTTTTAAGGGAAATGGAGGGGGATTGGTTGGGGAAAGCTGAGAGGAGAGAAGAGGAGGAAACTACAGTTGAAATGTAATATATGACAAAAAATTAATAAAAAACCTGAAAAATATGAAATGGATATGTAGAATTTGGAACCTATACTGCTGATGGAAATGTAAAAACATATTAGTAGCTAAACAAAGAGCTGACCCACAAGAGCAACTCTATTCCTAGGCATAAACCACCCCCCCAAAAAAATACTTGTTTACTATTATTATTATTCATAGTAAGTGACTAATAATAGAAGAAAAGAAAAGAAAACAGAAAATAAAAAAGTACCTTGCAGCTTCTTGCTGGTTCTCTTATCTTCATCTCAGGGAAAGCCTGCTTCCAGGTCATGAAGAGGCTCAAGCTCTTGCATCTCCCAGGGGTCCACATGACATTGGAGCCTCCTGTCAGCGGCCATGTGAGTGAATCATATTGGAAGCTGGTCCTCCAGCTGCAGCTGAGCGCCTCCTGAGACCCTCAGCCACAGTACTCAGAGAACACTCTGGAACCTGAGACCAAGATTGTGAGACAGTAAATGTTCGTTTAAAGCCACTTGCTTTGAGAGTAATTTATTACCTGGCAGTAGATAATTGCTATTCTCTCCTTGTCCAGGTGAGTATAGAAAAGGATTAAATAGAGCTTTTTGAGCCTTGCTTAGAAAAAGAAATGTTCTTCGTTTGCAAGAAAATCAAGTCTAAATTTGGTGGAAATAGAGCTCCCTTCCAAAACAAACAAACAACAACAACAAAAAAAAAAAAAAACTCTGGAAAAACCATTGACCCAGATCTTCAACAAAACAGTGCTGGTTGGTTGACTTTTGTCAACTTGACACAAACTTACACATATCTGAGAAACAGTGATCTTATTTTGAGACAAATTCTGTGTAGTCCTGTCTGGTACTTGGTAGGTTATTCCAGGTTGGCCTCAAACTTCCAGAGCTCTGCCCTCCTTTGACTCCTAAGTGCTAGGATCAAAGATATGTACCACCATGTCCAGCTTGGGAAGAGGGAATCTTAATTGAGAAAATGTCTTTATACAGTTGGTCTGTGGACATTTTCTTGAGTAATTATTGATAGGGAATGGCCTTACTCACTGGGCAGGGCCATCTCTGGGCAGTTGGTCCTGGATGATACAAGAAAGCAGGCCACACAAGCTAAAAGGAGCAAGGCAGTAAGAAGCAGTGTTCCTCTGTGGCCTCTGATTTCAGTTCATGCCTAGAGTTATTCCCCTGACTTCCCTCCATGTTGGAATATGACCTGAGTATTCAAAGATGAAATAAACCCTTTTCTCCTCAAGTTATTTTTAGTCATGGTGTTTTATCATAGGAATTAAAACCCTAAATAAGGGCAATCTTTTTTTTTTTTTTCGAGACAGGGTTTCTCTGTGGCTTTGGAGCCTGTCCTGGAACTAGCTCTGTAGACCAGGCTGGTCTCGAACTCACAGAGATCCGCCTGCCTCTGAGTGCTGGGATTAAAGGCGTGCGCCACCATCGCCCGGCAAACCCTAAATAAGGGCAATCTTAGAAAAGCAGTCTACACATTCAACGCACTGCCCATCAAAATCCCAGCAAAATTCTTCAAAGACCTCAAAAGAACAGTACTCAACTTCATATGGAAAAGCAAAAAAAACCCAAGATAGCCAAAACAATCCTGTACAATATAAAAGACTTCTGGAGACATCACAATCCCTAACTTCAAACTCTATTACAGAGCTACAGTACTGAAAACAGCCTGGTATTGAATAGAAGACCCGGATATCTATCTATACATCTTCGAACACCTGATTTTTGACAAGAAAAAAAAATATCAAATGAAAAAAAAGCATATTTAACAAGTGGTGCTGGCATAACTGGATATCAACATGTAGAAAAATGAAAATAGACCATTATCTATCACCATGCACAAAACTCAAGTCCAAATGGATCAAAGACCTCAACATAAAGCCGGCCACACTGAACCTTAAAGTAGAGAAAGTGGGGCGTATACTTGAAAACATTGGCACAGGAGACCACTTCCTAAATATAACCCCAGCAGCACAGACACTAAGAGAAACAATTAATAAATGGGACCTCCTGAAACTGAAAAGCTTCCGTAAAACAAAGGACACAGTCAGCAAGACAAAACAACAGCCTACAGAATGGAAAAAGATCTTCACCAATCCCATATCAGACAGAGGTCTGATCTCCAAAATATACAAAGAACTCAAGAAATTGGACACCAAAACAGCACATAATCCGATAAAAAAAATGGAGTACAGACCTAAACAGAGAACTCTCAACAGAGGAATCTAAAATGGCTGAAAGACACTTAAAAAGGAAATGTTCAGCATCCTTAGTCATCAGAGAAAAGCAAATCAAAACGACTCTGAGATTCCATCTCACACCTGAAAGAATGGCCAAGATCAAAAACACTGATGACAACTTATACTGGAGAGGTTGTGGGGGAAAGGGAACACTTCTGCATTGCTGGTGGGAATGCAAGCTGGTACAACCCCTTTGGATGTCAGTGTGGTAATTTCGCAGAAAATTAGGAAACAACCTTCCTCAAGACCCAGTAATAACCACTTTTGGGTATATATCCAAAGGATGCTCAATCATGCCACAAGGACATGTGCTCAACTATGTTCATAGCAGCTTTGTCATAGCCAGAACCTGGAAACAACCTGAATGCCCCTCGACTGAAGAATGGATAAGGAAAATGTGGTACATTTACACAATGGAGTACTACACAGCAGAAAAAAAACAATATCTTGAATTTTGCAGGAAAATGGATGGATCTAGAAAACATTATTTTGAGTGAGGTAACCCAGACATGGACAATTATCACATGTACTCATTCATAGGTGGTTTTTAACCATAAAGCAAAGAAAGCCAGCCTACAAACCACAATCCCAGAGAACTTAGACAACAATGAGGACACTAAGAGATACTTAGATATAATCTACGTGGGAAGTAGAAAGCAGAAAAAGAGAAGATCTCCTGAGTAAATTGGGAGCATGGGGACCTTGGGGGAGGGCTGAAGGGAGGAGGGGAGAGGCTGGGAGGGGAGCAGAGAAAAATGTAGAGCTCAATAAATATCAATAAAAAAGAAAAAAAAACCCTAACTAAGATGGGAACCAGGCAATGGTAGCTGATAGCCTGTTTGGCTGAGGTCTTGCAATGGGGACAGGTATATATCCCAGTGATGGTGAGTGTTTATTTTTTTTTTCAGCCATTTCCCCTTAGGTGTTGGGTGACTGAGCTTAAGATCCAGCTTCTGAGTCTGGTGGGCTACCAGAGGTGCTGCTGCCAACCCTCACTGGGAATAGATGGTTGCACAGAGATATACTCAATGTAAGGAACTTTCCCTAGGTACTTGAAGAAATTCCAGAGGCTGACTACTGAGTAGAGCTAAATAATCACATCAGCGACTGTGTGCTGCATCCACCTCAGCTGCTCACAGGGTTCAGATGCTGGTGGCTAGCATGTTAGCCCAGCTCATTAACTCTTTTTAATGATTTATTTATTTCAATTTTTTCTGTACATTGCTGTTTTGCCTACATGTATGTCTATGTGAGCATGTTGGATTCCCTGGAACTGGAGTTACAGACAGTTGTGAGCTGCCAGGAATTGAA